ATCGCGAGTAAGTCTCGAGCGATAGCGCGATTCCCACGTACATCGCGAAACAGGCCAAAGCGAGAGCATGATTCCAGAGTGTCGAGGGCGCGGCATTTGAATTATTTCCGAGGAAACCCCGCGCACGAACGCGATCCTTGCATACATTGAACAGATGTCCCGCGCGAGATCGCGATGTCGAAATACATTGTGAGGACGCATCAGGCGAGGGCCGTTTTTGTTGTAGCCGGGGTGCCAGGGACGCAATTCTTGACGCTTCGCGTATCCCCACCAGCCCATCCAGAAACGACGCCCAGGTGAGTAGAGGTGATCATGGAAGCGGGGCAGCATACAGAGGACCAAGGGGCTGGGGAGGCCGTCGTACCCCAAGGGGGGGAGATGGAGGAGGAGTCGGAGGCGGAAGAGGAGGATGATGATGAGGGTGGGGAGGGAGGAATGAGGAGGAGGAGGAATAGGCGGATGATGATGTTGATGTTGATATTGATGATGCTGATGATGACGATGAGGGTGGTGGTCTTGACGATGGTGATGATGATGCTGATGATGCTGATGATGCTGATGGTGATGATGATGCTGATGATGCTGATGATGATGATGATGATGATGATGATGATGATGATGATGATGATGATGATGATGATGATAGTGATGATGAGGGGGAGGAGGAGGAGGAGGATAAGGGCGATCAGAAGAGTCAAAGGCCTCTTGAATGCCTCGCGGAGTCTCTTGGGATGTCTCTTGGGAGACTCTTTGAGGTCTCTTGGGGCGTCTTGGGGGCCTCTTGGCGGTCCCGGGAGCTTCTTGGACCGTCTTGGGTGCCTCGTGGGAGCCTCTTGGGGCCTCTTGGGGGCCTCTTGGGGGTATTTTGGGGGACTCTCGGAGGCCTCTTGGGGCCTCCTGGTCGCCTCTTGGGGCCTCCTGGGCGCCTCTTGAGGCCCTCTTGGGGCGCTCTTGGGAGCCTTGGGAGCGCTCTTGGGGCCATCTTGGAGGTGATCGATCAAAGGAAGGGGGTCCCTCAATTAGCCTCCCCCCTCGGGAGCCTCCGAAATCGGCAAAAACCATAGTAAAACCGATGATTTTGGCTTCCTCGCCGAGGCCGTTTTGGACGCTCTAACTACCAGCGGCCCCCCCCCCGTCCAAGTCCAGGGGAGGAGGTTAGGGGGAGGGGTAAACCCCTCCCCGAAGGGGAAGAAGGAGGGGTGGAAGAGGAAATTCCCTAAACCACCTATGCCCAGAGGGCTGGTGGGATTTGAGCATGAATATTCTTTCAAAAAAGGGTGCGAGCCCCGTGAGGAGCACGTCAATGGACAACTGGACCCAGAGTTTCTATTGTTCAAGAGCTGAGAATTGAACCGCTACAACAACAAGAACAGCAACAGCAAAACAACAAGAACAACACCAACACGAACGCCAACACTCATGTTAAGCCTGTTCGTTCTTATCTGCTCGCGGGCCAGTCAACACGTATATCCCAAGCCATCGATACCCGCCCTCTTCGTCTTCGATCGTACCCGCTTGAGGGTCTATATCTTTCTTACCTGCCACGCGTATTTCGTGCAGCCCCTAAGACAGAGGAAGAGAGGACGGATGGGAGGAAGGGACAAAGGGTGGGGGAGGAGGATGGAACACAAGAGACATTAGCCGAGTGGGGAGGAGGGGGGCTAGGATCAGAATACACGTGGCAGAACCAGACGAACAGATCGAGCGGGTAGACCTTGACGGGCGGGTCGGGACGGCGGGCCAAAGCGGCCAGGTCGAGCGGGCGTGTTGCTGAAGCGTGAGGAAGTCTCAAGCGACATCGCGATTCACCATTAAATCACGAAATCGGCAGCGAGAACATTATTCCTGAGAGTCACAGTTTCTGTCAGCATGGCGTGCAGCTCCAGGTTTCCATCACTCGGCGTATACTTGTAGGGCGCATGGTGGCACGCTGACGCATGCAGTCAGGATACAGCCAACCCGGATGGTAAGGATGACCGGTTTTCGAAGGTTATCCTCGCATCCTTCTCTTTCGGCCCATCCTTGGCCGCTTTTGCTGGCCGCACCCCGCTCGCCAAGTGTCGACATGGCCTTCCAAGGCCCTTTTCATCCTTACCGCGCATACTTCTTATGCGGGCTGCTTGTAGGAGCGAGGAGGGGGAGCGAAATGCGATGAGCCCGGAAAGGGAGCGGAAAGCCTTCGGAGTGCGCCCGACGCTGCGCGGTGCACAGGCGAAGCGGGCCCTGCTGGAGGCGGGCCGCAGGGGGGTTAGGGAGCGAGGGTCAACGGCGGAAACGTGCGTAGAGGGTGGAGGATCGGACGGGGCTACAGTCGGCCCTGATTAGTAGGTCGACTTTGCAAAATAAAGGGTACCCTCGTGTCCTGTATCTCGCGATCCATGTCTCCTGCGTTCCTACGGGAATGTGGCCCTCGGAAGGGTTTTGTGTCTTCTCGCGTGTCCTCTCCAATCAAGTCTTGCTGTAGGACGAGTGTGAGTCCGTTCCAGAGCGTTCCAGAACGCTCGAAGAAGGCCAGGGCTCCCGAGACATCCTCCAGAGCCGCCGGGTCTCAGAGATTATTTATGTATCTTCACCCAAGGGTGTCCTCGTCTTGGCTCAAGGCTCAAGCTCCATTGGCACAAGTGGCACATACAATCAGGCGGTTGAACTACCATCTTTAGTTGTCGTCTGCTTCATCTGTTGATTCGTATCTCTTCTGTTCTGATCAACTTGAGAGTTGGGAACATGGCGAAACGAGCAGGGGAAGCAACGGGATCTACACCGGATACGAAGGAAGGCCGTAAGGACATAATGAAAGAGTTTATGGACGTGAAGGTCGGCGAGGGGGAGGATTCGGACGTGGAGATAGTCCCAGGTGGAGGAGGTGTAAGGAGCGAAGGCGGTGGTCTCAACAATACAAACAACGCCTGAACAGAAAGCTGAATACATTGACCCGACAACTCCAAAACGTCAACGACACGGTCAAACAAACAAATGAAGAAGTGACAGAAATAAGGGGAACGTGCAGGATCTCCGCAACAAGGTTGTCGGTGTCGAAGGCGAAGTTGAAGCGATCAAAGGGGGCATGGACGACGTCTACGTGACACAAGATGATGCGAAGGAAGTGGTGGGCAATATGATCCAGCAGGCCCTACGTGACCAACGAACCAGCGTGGGGGAACAGGAGGGATGATCAGAAAAAGGGGGGTAAATACCACGGAGGAGGAGAAGGAGAAGGAGACCCGCGCACGGCAGGTGATTGCTTTCGGCTTTGAAGGAAGTGCCACAGCGGCAGCAGCGATTCAACATCTTGAACGTATTATTCAAACTACGGTTGCAACGGGGACCGATCCCACCAGAGAAGTTATGATGAAACCCCCCAGTGTTGCAAAAGTTGGCTTTTGGAAAAAAACGCGAGAGCAGCACTATCATATGACAACATTGCGTTTGGACCCGTATTCTTCTAGAACAGCTCGACGATTGAGAAGCGCGAGCAGGAGAAACGGTTGGGGTACACGAAGCATTATCGCAGCAAACGTTTGGAGAATGCACATCAGGATATCATCATGTGTTGCCTAAGGGTATGGTTGTGATGAAGGACGGGACATTGAACGAACGGAACATTTCGTTGTATGATGGGGGAAGGGGGTTGGCATACCACAACAACGGGGAAGGCAGTGGAGGAGGAGGTGAAGGACGCGATGGAGAAATGGAGAAGAAAGGTACGTCCAGAACCTCAGACAGAGAGCGAGTGACGTTACGACGACGTTCGCGGCAGTTCCACTATTAGTAACACGAGGGCATCTACAAGGTCAGTTTTGCGAGAAATCTCCGACACCCCCGGGGAAGGAATGGGTATCGTAACGAATTTAATGGGCGACCTACCTGCAGGAATTCCTGCTCCTACCAGGAGCATTCGAGGATATGCGCTATGTTCCCACAGGACGACACCTACGACGACACCTGCCCGACAACGGACGGCAGCTTCCAACTCCGAGGGGCTCGATCCATACAGTAGTGACATGCAGTGTTATGCTGGAGTTTCAGATTTTGGTTTAGATGTAAGTGACAAAACAGGGGCCCAACGGAAAACAGTCCGTCAGCTGTTGCTGCTGGGGGCGGCAGAGGAATGTATTGGAATTCTGGTGATGTTCCGTTGTCCCTCCGACGTGGCCCGACCACCTTTCAGGAACATTGCAGCCCCAGGAGAACCCGACTCCAGCGACTACAATCAGGCCACCTATGCTCAACACCCGGCTCCCGACTCCTACCTCCGACCTTGTATCCACCCCCTGGCTGCTCCCTCACAGTGTCCAGTTTCACCCATACCACTTTCATCGACTTCAGTTTCACCCCATACCAGGTCCGAACGGGAATGCGCAGCCGACAGACAGATCCGAATGCCGACGTGGAGAGGCATTTGCACGAGACAGCGGGCGACAATACAGGGGAGGAGATGCTTGGCAGAATAGAACATGCGATACTGGATTCGGTGAGGATGCCGTCAGCAGTCGCTGGTTGCAAAAGTGGCGGTTGTCATGGTAATGATTAATTCCACAATCGAATTGTGCAGCGGAAGGCACTACCGGCGACAAATACATTAGAGCGACGGTCGGCCAGCCAACACAAATCCAAACAATGTATCAGACCACAGCAGCGGAGCAAGCGCAAGGCTCGCATAGGTCATATTCTAAACGAGCATAAGGGGTTGCGACATATCAGCGGCATCAAGAGTGCGAAGCGCACGAATCACATCACACCCATGTGGTTTTCTGATGCGAGCCAGGTTTTTGACCAGCGCGCGATTGCAAACGTAATTTCCAACTTCTACGAGAAAAAGCATACGCAGCGACACGCGCGAACACCAGCGGCCAGCGACCTACCGCCACGACGGGCGTTTCACCATTCGGCGACGAAGACTTCACCACGAGACTCAGACAGCTGAACATATATATATATATATATATATAGATGTATATATATATATATATATATATATATGCTGACGCATCTGGTATTGCAGCAGAATTGCTCAAGCATGGGTGGAGAGGCCTACGACGCGCACTATTGGAACTATATCGCATTATCCTGTTGCCTGAATCACACACGACGGAGAGCTGGCACCGCATTTGCATTTGCATATTGTTCCATTCTGGGGGTACGTGTCTGCCCCAGAACTGCAGGCCGATATGCATTATCACGCTTGTGTATGAACTGTCCTTTCGTTTGCTGTACAATCGTTCTATACCAATCCTCGACATAGTCCAGCCTCCAGAACAAGCCAGGTTCTGGAAACATGATTGTGTACCGATGACCACACGTTTGCGTTCACAATCAGTTTTTTCAAGAGAAAGGAAGGGAGTGCCACATTCCAATTCGGGCCGCCACGCTGGATGTCAAGAAATCTGTCGGCAGTCTCCCACGACTCGTTCTGGAAGGCCTTAGCAACACAATGTGTGCCAGCACCGTAGATCAACATGATTGCCAAATTGTATGCCGACCAAACAGCCGTGGTGCAGACGGACGCGTTAAGCAGATAATTCTAGACGCTTCGCGTATCCCCACCAGCCCGTCCAGAAATGAGTCCCAGGGGAGTGGAGGTTATGAGGGAAGCGGGGGAGCATGCAGAAGAACAAAGGGCGGGGTGAGCCGCCACATCTCCCAAGAGGGGGAGGATGTAGGAGGAGCCGTCGTCGTCGGAGTAGGAGGAGGAAGAGGAGGAGCAGGAGGAGGAGGAGGAGAAATAGAAGGAGGAGGAGATGGAGGACTGCGAGGACGAGGAGGACGAGAAGGAGGAAAAGGAGGAAGGAGGAGGAGGAGGAGGAGGAGGAGGAGGAGGAGGAGGAGGGGGAGGGGGAGGAGGGAGGAGGAAGAAAAAGAGGAGGAGGAGGAGGAGGAGGAGGAGGACAATTGCGAGCTTGGGGGCCTCTTGGGCCGTCCTTGGGGCCTCTTGGCGGTCCCGGGGGCCTCTTGCGTATCTCGGGGAGCCTCTTGTGGCCTCTTGGGGGTCTCTTGGGGGCCTCTTGAAGGCCTCTTGGGGGCCTCTTGGGGCCTCTTGGGGCCCTCTTGGGGCGCTCTTGGGGCGCTCTTGGGAGCCTTCGAGGCGCTCTTGGGGCCATCTTGGAGGAGATCTATCAAAGAAGGGGGGGTCCCCAATTAGCGCTGCCCCTCTAGAGTGCCTCGAGTCGCCTCTTGGGCCCCCCCAAGAGGCCAAAATCCTTCCAAAACCTAGGTAAAATCAATGTTTTTTGTTTTCTCGCCTTTTCGCTTTTGGAGCCTTGGGAGCCTCTTGGGCCTCTTGGGGGTCTCTTGGGAGCCTTTTGGAGGCCTCTTGGGCGCCTCTTGGGGTTTCTTGGGGCGCTCTCGGCGCGCTCTTGGGGCGCTCTTGGGAGCCTTCGGGGCGCTTTTGGGGCCATCTTGCAGGAGATCGATCAGAGAAGAGGGGGTCCCCAATTAGCGTTGCCCCTCTAGAGTGCCTCGAGTTGCCTCTTGGGCCCCCCAAGAGGCCAAAATCCTTCCAAAACCTAGGTAAAATCAATGTTTTTTGTTTTCTCGCCTTTTCGCTCTTGGAGCCGTCTTGGGCCATCTTGGACTCTCTTGGGGCCTCTTGGGGGTCTCTTAGCAGCCTCTTGGAGGCTTCTTGGGGGCCTCTTGGGGTCTCTTGGGGCCCTCTTGGGGCGCTGTTGGGGCGCTCTTGGGAGCCTTCGGGGCGCTCTTTGGGCCATCTTGGAGGAGATCTATCAAAGAAGGGGGGTTTGCTTATTAGCCCCGCCCCTCCAGAGTGCCTCGAGTCGCCTCTTGGGCCCCCCAAGATGCCAAAATCCTTCCAAAACCTAGGTAAAATCAATGTTTTGTGTTTTCTCGCCTGTTCGCTCTTGGAGCTGTCTTTGGCCATCTTGGACGCTCTGACACCTCGCGACCGGCCCCGTCCAGGTCAGTGGGGAGGGGTAAGGGGAGGGGTAAACTCCTCCCCGAAGGGGAAGAAGGGGGTTGGCAGAGGAAACTCCCTAGACCACCTACGCCCTAAAGGGCTGGTGGGATTTTGCTGTGCGCGGGGGACGAAGCAGGGAGATCCATTGAGTTCGTTGTTATCCAACAGTCTTTCACAGCACACCTTCCAAAACAATTTCCCGGAGTGGTCTACACGCAAGTACGGATATCAGTCATCATGTGTAGAACGTGCACGACTGACTAATTTCATATGTGTTGACGATGTGGTGATCATTGGTGGTTCAGTGACGTTGATCAAACGGATGATATCAGACGTCCGGGGCGTTGTTTTGACGCTAGGCTTGAAAAGTCACCCAGACAAGTTGAAGACATCACACAATTTCTGCGACCGGAAACCAAACATTTCGCCAGAATTCGCCGTCTTCGACGACGTGAAGATCGAAGATTGGCTTTTCTCTGGGGCTCATTGGCTCCGAAACATATTGGCAGACATTCTACATTCTGTGACCTAGCAGAGGTAGAGCTTGGAAAAAGCTGGCTTTGTCCAAACAGGAGCTCATTACCAAGGCGTATTCAGCCAATGACCGGCTGCGCCTCTTCAGCGAGGTCGTTGGTGCAACTATGTTGTACGTGCCTGCGTCGGGGACATTCGCGGCAGAATTGGAGTGCAAACGTCGGGCAACCCGGCGCCGAATGTTACGCGTGAGTGCGCCGCGACGCCGATGCTTTGACGCGGCGGACGACGAAAATCGGGACGACCGACATGGGTACGGAAAGCATGGGTACAATGCCCAACAGCAGTTCCTGTTCATTTTGAACAGGATTCGCTGTCCGCGCCGCCACGGCCTGTGTCCATTCGAGACAGAAGGCCGCCTGTCCAACAGCGGCCGCTGTTGGTTTGGGACAACATTTGTTGTTGGGCATTGTGCCCATTCTTTCTGTACCCATTTCGGGCGTCCAAAGAAAAGAGCGCCGACGCAGCGTCCACACAGAGCGGCACCGACAGCGGCACACGTTCCACGCATTCGTCGTCCAGTTCGTCTTCGGACATTCGTACATACATCGAGCCATGGCACGAGTGGATCAAAAGGAGCAACACACATGGTAGAACGCATATTTTCTCAAGCTGGCGACGAGGATTGGATTGCAACGCGCAGACGACGGAAATGGCGATGGGCATCTTAACTGGCGCGCAAAAAACACCCTGCTGCGGCGCGCGTGCCTGGAGGCTACCGCAACGGCCGCGGATGCGCTGGTTCGACGACAGATGTCAGGCAGTACGAGGTAATCATACCGAGCGGGTCTGGGAAACGCTTACCTGCAATGGCGAGTTGTGGGGGGGCATTGAATCGATGTGCGTACGCGCATTCAACTGAGGCGCCGCAGATTTCCAGCTACAGCTCTCCGTTTTCCGCCTCCAGCTCCCATCTGTCTTTGCGAGCGCGGCCCCCATAGTTCTTCCCAGCGCTCATTTCACCGATTTGGTTTCTCTGACTGCAGCGCTCGCTTCTCCAATCCAGGCTCATAACTTTCCGACTAGTTCCCATCTCTTTGGCTCCAGATCACCACTTTCCGCTTCCAGCTCCCATCTTTCTGACTCCGGCTCCCAATTTTTTGACTCCAGCTCCCAACGTCCGATTCCGGGTACTAATTTTCTGACTCCAGATCGCATTTTTTTGTGTCCGGCTTCCAGCCGACTCCAGTTCCCATCTCTCCGGTTCCGGCTCCCAATTTTCTGACCCAGGCTCCCAGATTTCCGATTCCGATTCCAATTTCCCGACCCCAGTTTTCATCTCTCCGAGTCCACCTCCCAATTTTCTTTTCCGACGCTTGTCGTTCCGATTCCGGCTTCCGGCTCACAAATGTCCGAGTTTGGTTGCTAGCTTTCCGAATCCAGCGCCCGTTCTTCTGACTCCAGCTCCTAAGTTTCCGAATCCAGGTCCGTTCTTTCTGGTTTCGGCCGAGTTCCGAGTTCAGAAATGAGGCGCCCCGGCGCACCCGCCGTTCTTTAGACGGGACGCCCTTTGGGCGACATCGGTGCCGTTCCGCTCCGCTCCGCCGCTCCCGTCCACTCCGTTGGTTTCGTCGCTAGATGGGGGTGAGATCGGGGATCAGGAAACCAAGGGGGGGAAGTGCCTACGAGAGGTGCCGCGTGCCGCCATTGTCAGCCCCGACGCCAGGCGCAAATCCCCGAATGGGTACGGTCGCTCCCTGCGCCTCCGGGCGCCAGGAAAACGAGTTGCGCCTGGCTGAGTCATTGAATTTTTTGTTTGCCCCCCCCCTTTTCTCGTCCGCAGCGAACCCGGAACCCTGCCCTCGTCGATCCACGGCCCAGGCATTTCGATGGGGAGCGGGGGTAGGACTGGGTAGGATTCGGAATTCGTCGAGCATTTTGCGAAATCCAAACCTTCTCCGCCTCCTATCGATTCAGGAAAATCGATGGTTGGTGGGGGTGGGGTTCGGATGTCGCCACTGCTCGCGTCCACCCCGAGAGCTGGCAGCAAGGTGAGCGAATGTTAGCGGGATTCTTGAGGGCTGCGAGGCTCAGAGGGGGAGCGGCCGCAAGTATGAGCTTGGACGGGGAGGAGCAGGAGCAGGACAACGAGGGGCTGGGGGGGAATATGAGGCTGAGGAAGGGGAGTTGTGCAGGATGAGCAGGAACAAAAGGGGGAGGGGATCGGGAGATGGAGCAGGATGGGGGTCAGAAGAAGAAGAAGAAGAAGCATCATAAGAAGAAGAAACTGAATAATCAGAAAAAGAAGTAGGAGTACGATGGGGATGAGTAGAAAGAGCACAAGAGAAGAACACAGGCTCCATTGGGAGCGCCACGGAGCCCGGGAGAGTCCTTGGGAGCGCGGGCGTGACGGTTCCCGAGGACAGTTGGGAGCTCTTGCCGAGGGGCGTTGGGGGGTGCCTGGGAGACTGCGGGAGCGCCAGGCAGCGCCAGAGGGGGGCATAATTTACCGGGATAACCCCAATCACCTATTCTATAGGTCTCCTAAATTGGGTCGGAGTAGATGGGGTCGGAGGATCGCCGCATCTCCGATGCATCGCCGATGCGGCTCGAGGTGCAGCCCGATTTGCTTTACGCGCACGTCGGCATCGCCGATGCATCGCCGATGCGGCGCGAACCTCCGACCCACCCCATTTATTCCGACCTCATCTAGGAGGCCTCTGCACTCATCGCCGACAGAGGCACATTACGGTAGCCCATCCTGCCCCGAAACATGCGGTTTCGCTATCAGAGGCCTGTCGCCGATGTTCGTCGATGGCAGTTCGATGTTTCCACCCTGAGTTGGTCCCGTCCTTTCCCCTGCAGCGGGTGGAGCCTGGAGAACGCTTGGGAGTTCCAGGGTGGGTCCCGGGAGCGCGGGCCAGGGATCGTGACCTCGGGAGCGCAGACCCATTGTTTTTGTATTAGGGATCGTTGCCTCGGGAGCACGGAATCATTCTTTTCTTGTAGGGAGTGAGTAATAAGGAGGAACGAAGAGGAGGACCATGAGAGGTATCGGAGGAGGCCTCCTTCCGCTCCTGCTTCCACCATCCCACACGCTTCCTTTGCAGCGTACGTGCAATCAACCGGGGCTGAACAGAAGCCTCGCTGACGCCGGGCGATGGGCCTCGTAAGCGGTAATTTAGCTCCAGCACGAATGCAGCCGCTAGTTTGCCACGGTCGACTTTTTCGGACTCACTTTTTTCATTATCGTCCTCCATGAGCGGCTCCCGTGGCGCCCGCGAGCAGTCTCCAAACATTGCCCTTCACCTTCCCAAAAAAGATGCGGCCATTTGAACATATTTGACACGCAGAGGGTTGGCTCTATACTGTGTGGGGCAATTGAGACGTTGCGTTCACAATGGCGCTGTGCCAATATTTTGTCTGCCGTTTTCCTTCTTTTGCCTTCCTCATATAGTCGAAACCCATAGTGAGGGTAGTTAATCTCCGGTACTCTTGCATCTTCGCCCCGTTGGTCCATCCTTAGTTGATCCCTTCCGATGGCCAGCCCCGCTCGAAAAGTTTCGACATGGGGTTCTAAGGGGCCAAGCATGCCAGAGTGATCCCATGAATGAATGACGCGCACGAGCCTGGACCTCCTCGCAAGCGATTCGCAACTGCGGTGGGACCAGCGTCGGGCGACGAAATCTTTACATATCCACTATCCACTGTTCCCTGGCCAGTTGTGTATACGGCCTCCTGACCAAGCCAGGAGGGCGTAGCGAATACACCGCTGATGGATGGACCCGGCCATGGAGCAGTGGATATGTATAGATTTCGTCGCCCTACAGCGTGAATTTCTGGCGCTGCTGAGCTTGGGACAACGGCGCCACAAATTGTCGTCGTTACCTAACATCGAAGACTGGTAGGTTTCTAGTGGTGTAAAAAGAGAGCAGCACATTACTCCACAGGGGGGTCTGGGCAGCCGTTGGGGAGCCGTTGGGGGCCGTTGGGGGGCCGTTGGGGTTTGCCGGGGGGGATCGTTTTTCGCATACAGTCACACACTTCGTGCTTTTCGATTTCCCAGAACTCCATTCCCGGGCCACATTCTGAATGCCCGGAGCCAACTGTAGGCCACTTCGTGCTCTTCGACTTCCCAGAACTCCATTCCCGGGCCACATTTTGGATGCCCGGAGCCAACTGTAGGCCACTTCGTGCTCTTCGACTTCCCAGAACTCCATTCCCGGGCCACATTTTGGATGCCCGGAGCCAACTGTAGGCCACTTCGTGCTCTTCGAGTTCCCAGAACTCCATTCCCGGGCCACATTTTGAATGCCCGGAGCCAACTGTAGGCCACTTCGTGATCTTCGAGTTCCCAGAATTCCATTCCTGGGCATGATTTTGAATGCCCGGAGCCAACTGTAGGCCACTTCGTGTTCTTCGAGTTCCCAGAACTCCATTCCCGGGCCACATTTTGAATGCTGAGGCAGGCTGAGGCTGAGGCTGAGGCAGGCTGAGGCTGAGGCAGGCTGAGGCTGAGGCCGAGGCTGAAGGCAGACTGAGGCTGAGGCTGAAGCAGGCTGAGGCTGAGGCTGAGGCAGGCTGAGGCTGAGGCTGAGGCAGGCTGAGGCTGCTGAGGCAGGCTGAGGCTGAGGCTGAGGCTGAGGCTGCAGGCTGAGGCTGAGGCAGGCTGAGGCTGAGGCCAGGCTGAGGCTGAGGCGAGGCTGAGGCTGAGGCTGATGCAGGCTGAGGCTGATGAGGCTGAAGGCTGGCTGAGGCAGGCTGAGGCTGAGGCTGAGGCAGGCTGAGGCTGAGGCTGAGGCAGGCTGATGCTGATGCAGGCTGAGGCAGGCTGAGGCTGAGGCTGAGGCAGGCTGAGGCTGAGGCAGGCTGAGGCTGAGGCAGGCTGAGGCTGAGGCCGAGGCTGAGGCAGACTGAGGCTGAGGCTGAAGGCAGGCTGAGGCTGAGGCTGAGGCTGAGGCTGAGGCTGAGGCTGAGGCTGAGGCAGGCTGAGGCTGAGGCTGAGGCAGGCTGAGGCTGAGGCAGGCTGAGGCTGAGGCTGAGGCTGCAGGCTGAGGCTGAGGCAGGCTGAGGCTGAGGCCGCTGAAGGCAGGCTGAGGCTGAGGCTGAGGCTGAGGCTGAGGCTGAGGCTGCAGGCTGAGGCTGCAGGCTGAGGCTGAGGCTGAGGCTGAGGCTGAGGCCGAGGCTGAAGGCAGACTGAGGCTGAGGCTGAAGCAGGCTGAGGCTGAGGCTGAGGCAGGCTGAGGCTGAGGCTGAGGCAGGCTGATGCTGAGGCAGGCTGAGGCTGAGGCTGAGGCTGATGCAGGCTGAGGCTGAGGCAGGCTGAGGCTGAGGCCGAGGCTGAAGGCAGACTGAGGCTGAGGCTGAAGCAGGCTGAGGCTGAGGCTCAGGCTGAGGCTGAGGCTGAGGAGGCAGGCTGAGGCTGAGGCTGAGGCTGAGGCTGAGCTGAGGCTGAGCTGGCTGAGGCAGGCTGAGGCTGAGGCTGCTGAGGCTGAGGCTGAGGCTGAGGCAGGCTGAGGCTGAGGCAGGCTGAGGCTGAGGCAGGCTGAGGCTGAGGCTGAGGCTGATGCAGGCTGAGGCTGAGGCAGGCTGAGGCTGAGGCCTGAGGCTGAAGGCAGACTGAGGCTGAGGCTGAAGCAGGCTGAGGCTGAGGCTGCAGGCTGAGGCAGGCTGAGGCTGAGGCAGGCTGGCTGAGGCAGGCTGAGGCTGAGGCTGTGACTGCGACTGCCGTTGCCACTGCGACTGTCATCGCGAATGCGACTACGACTGCGAGAACAGCAGAATTCTACAACTGGATTCTCATCCGAATCTTAAGGGGAATGCTTCCAGATGTGCTCCTACACATCGATGTTAGGTTGCTTTGCCGGGATAATTTTTCAACACCACGCCTCAATCCTGCTGGGGTGAGTAGACCTGCTTGGCATGGGGACGGAAAGCGCGTTTGTTTTGTGAGGGCGCGAGGTCGTTGGCTTAGTGTCTTGGAGCCTTGTTGGTGCAAATGCTTCATTACGACATACAAATGTACCGACGAGCCTTGCGACAATTAATACATATTGCATATCCAGG